ATGAAAAGGCAAACTCCAATTGATGTTAAGTATTTTTAATCAAGATTATTTTATTGGAATACAATTGAAGACTTTTGTTCAGGAGCTCATTATTTCTATTTTTTGCTCTAATACCACAAGTTTCTTTTAGGCACAGGGGACAGCTAGCTCTCAGCTTTTAATGTTAATTATGGCTAGACATCATCACCTCTTCACTCAATTCATAATGTAGGCATAAAATATCAGTTCAGCTTTCTGCTACAGTAGCATAGTTCACTGCACTCTGCGGTTTTTTTTTTGTGACAGATTCCTCTTTAAAGCTTTTCTTTATAGTTCAGTAATAAAAAAATTACTTCATAACTACACTTTGATGGGTATTTTATTTTGTGAATGAATTAAAACTGGTAAGTCAGAAGAGAAGTTAAACAGTGAAAATAAAAACATTTTTTTCAGTGGCCCAATTCAAAGGTAATTCTGAATTTAAACTGCATCAAGATGGACATTATTCATTAATACAGCTGAGAGACGAGATACAAGATCAAGATGAAGATGTGTGTCTTCAGCACAGCAATGGTCAATGCATTGCCTAAAGGTGGCTTTCCACTCACAAGTGAGACAACCTGTAACATCTGGAACAGCTGGATGGGGGGATGGGGTTTACAGATACTGCCAACAAGCTATAAGAAACTATGTTCCTGTAGCGCAGGAGCTGGAGGCCAGACAGGAAACTCTAGAGCATCTCAGATGACACTAGACAGCACCATTCAAGCAACCAGACAGGATGTTTAATGTCTCATTACAAACCAATTGAGAACTCATCAGCATCATCAGTGGAGCTCGCCAGCAACTCAATTCTTCATTTCACTCTAAAGTAGACATCTAGTTATCAGTGAGCTGAATTGCTGTATACAGATATATGAATCTAGTGATGTTAATCTCAAGCTGAGTCCTACCACAGATGCCTTTAAGTATGTCTTTATGTTCATCAATACCAGCAGTGTTCTAACATTCGAATAGCAATAACTGCCTCGTATGACCCAAATAAGTTAATAGAAGCTAAATTATTTCCCTTCTCCAGTGATTCTCATACAAAAACATACTCAACCAGCTGGGTTTTTTCCACCCCAATGAAAGATGCATGTCAATAAAGTAATCCACAGAATTATTACTACAGGCAAAAGGACACCCAGTGTTCATCAGCAAAATGCTATTTTAGTGCCTCCAGAAGGTAAACAAGAAACATCTCAACTTTGCCCTGGATCACTCCCCATCCACTCACCTATCTACATTAACTTATTGATACAAATCAAAAGGACACCTTTTATGTGACTTTCCTGGTCATCCCCACTTAACATTTAACTTAGGTTATAACCAGCATTACTATGGCAGTGTGGAAGGAAACCATCTTACCACTAATGGCTTAAAGTGCAAAAAAGCTACTATAAAAAGTGTACCTCATAAAACTGTTGTCAGGACCCATGGCTACTCTCATACAGCGACTCCTCTGTTACATACTTTTACATTTAAAGCTGACTGTGTATTTTCCTCTGAAATGTTTGGCAGCTCCAATAATATTTCAGTTACAGATAGCTGTCACTGTTGTCTAACAAACAGACTGGGGAACTTACAGAATCTAGCTTAGCTGCATTTCAGACACAAAGGATGTAAAAAATGCTTTTCTTCTTCAGATTTAGGAGACATGACCCACAAAAAGCATACACAATGAATTACAGTTATGAAGACAGTACATTTGAAACATATATTATTAAAAATTAGGCACCATAGATGGCATCAAAGTGTATGTCCTAAAATGAAGAGGTGGTGGTCATACAGCATATTTGAACGAGTAGGCAAAAACTGTGCAAACTCACTAGTTAACAGGGGTGGACTTAGAAACCTAAAAGTAGACTGAAAATAGAAAACTGTAATAAGATGTCTTTTCCTCTCAGTGCTATTCATTCCCACAATACCTAATTCTGCCATCAAGCATTATTGTCTCCAAATATTATTTTGAGGTTTTGTATTTTCAGCTGTCACTCCCTCCCTTGCTCTCATGCAATACCTTTCTTCTGAGAACTGCAGAGGTTCTTTATATAAATAATAAGGCATATAACAGCTATAAATTAGGAAGTCCACCTTCCACAGATGGAACTGGAACAGAGCTAACATGCCCCAGAGTTACAAATTTTCTGAAGTTATCTTCTTCCAGAAAAGATTACAATAACTCTAATTTAATTTGGAAAATTACTGTGACCTAAGTGAACTCTCCTGTAATTTGGAGGCATCTTATTGCAGTGATATCTAATACAAAAGAGAAAGGGGTTGTTATTTTTTTCTGAATTATATTTCAGTGATATGTGTCATTATATGTCCGAAACAAGTGAACACTAACACCTGGGAGGTTATCAGTCATGACTCTGTAGCTGCAGGCAAGCTCCGTATCACACGTTAAAAAAAAACATTCATTCAAATCCTGCTATGCTTTAAAAAAGCACCATACACTCTCCAACCCAAATGACCAACGCAAAGCGAGTTCTCTAAATATAAGTTTAAACATAAATTCACTGAATTTACTCACTGAATTCAATGAGTGAATACACCTATACTGAGCAAGAAAAATCTAATCCCTGGGAGCATTCCCATCATCCCCAGCATGATTCCAAATGACTTTTGGCAACAGCAGGGAGCAGACTCTCCTCATCCTTCTCCAGCCCATTTCAAGTTGAAGCAGCAAGGTGGTAGCAAAGTTCTGAGCAATTGTTTCTAATTGTTGTGAGCAGAGAACCAACAAGTAAAATCAGCCCAAGGGCTCATGTAGGCCATTTTCAAAGAGATAAACTTTCCTCTCCAGCTAATTCACACATGGCAATCCTATTAAGAGGAGCAACATAGGGAAGGGGCTCACTTCAAAAGTTTCCATTGATAAATCATTTCTTTCCAGCTACCACCGTTCTTTAAAGATCCTACAGCCAGTGATAGGACTTGGAATTTGTGCCCATAAAGCTCCCTGTGGTACTGCTGCCTCCATTACTGCATGGGAAAAAGTGACCTTAGCTGGATAACTATGATCTGACCATACTTTTAACCACAGAAGCAGAGGGACTGGCTCTTTGCTTCTGTTTGGGATTTTTTGGTAGGGCTTTTTGTTTGGGGCTTATTATTTTATTGCTGGTGATATAAATCTGCTTATTTCTCTTCTGAATCAATAAATCTACTACAAATTAAAGGCATTGTCATCATCTCACTGCGGCTGTTCTACCAAAAAAAAATAAAAATAAAAAAATCTTAATTAACCAGTAATTTTTGGGCTGTTTATAACCAGCAGAAAGGCAAATCTGCCCCAAACTGTTCAAAAGCCATTTAAGGCTGCATATCTTCAAAGTGCTAAAAATAATTACGTAGCAGGACTGTTATGGGATATGCTCACTTAATATAGCTCAAAGGACTGCGATAAGAATTACTGAAGATGTACATAAAAGGTTGCCTTGCAATGAAGGTATGTGTGTGTAAGAGGGGAATGGAGGAGGGGATCCTCAGATGGAAAAGACTACACAACTCAGAAAATTTTCTTCAGGCATTCTTTAGCAGAATCTGCAGCTTTTTACCTAATCTTGGAAACATATAGTCATGCAGATAAGGCAGTATTAAATGGATCACTGCTGCCTCTGGAAAGAAAGATAAGTTAGCCTCTAGTGTTTTGATATTCCTTTTCTGACATCTGTTCTTCTTTCTCTCAAACTTCCTCTGCCAAGCAAAGATTATTTGGGATTGACAAATCTGTGCTTGGGAATAAACAAGATCTTTTCTCTGATAAGGTGTTGGAAATGGATGCTTAAGATACAGATAACAGTATATTCTGTCGGGTGTACTATATAGCTTGAAGGGGTCTCAGGGAAAAGGTACCAAGCCACATGAATACCTACATATGCCCAACAGTGTTCATGAATCCATATTATTCCAAAAGATAACAAGAGCAAGAAATCTTTCCTTTATACACTGCAATTCTGATAAGAAAACAGACAATTCTGCTTCCTACCCTGTGGGAGGGTACAGACCAAAGAGTAGAAAGAAAAGATGAGACAGTGAGGTTGGTGTAGCTGCAATGGTAATCTGGAGGCATTCACACAACACAATGCTAAGGCCTAATGAAAGTAAGAGGTGGTTTGATTTCTTTAAAAAATGCATACCCCTTTGGGATCACCAACTGCTCTGTAACTCCCACCAGCTGCACATGGTGTATCAGGGGTGTCAGCATTCATGCAACCATTATCAATCAACAAACTTGCTGCCACATCCATGACTGGAGATGCGGAAAAAGTTACAAATAGTCCCAACTTCTTCACTGCCTCTTTGTTAAACACCAGCACTAAGCCTGCTGCCCTAAATACAGCATGTGCTTTACCTGCAGCCCTAAAGGGTAGGTGCCCTCCTCTCTTTAAGCTTTACTGTCTCCTAATTCAGGCCAGGATGTTCCACTGGTGCTGCAGTGGACTCAAGTGAACAGCATGGAAGTACAAACATTTTAAGACTTGTTTAAGTTTCAGTATTGTTTTAAATGCAAGCACAGAAGTAGAACTCATCTATAAGAGCAGTTACTGTTGCACATGAGCAATAATGTAATGCTCTAAAGTTCTGGTGCAGGAATATTTTTTTTTGTTTCCTAGGAGATTATCTTCAGCAAAATAATCCCAAACCAAACACACTACATACATGCATATTTACATGTGTGCATGGACAAGCACCTGAAAATGACAGGTTTCCAGAAATTTATCCATAAATTATAACTACTCATTTTCAGATATGATGCAATTTAACACACCTGTACAGGCTGCAGGTACCCTTGAACTCAGAATCTCTCTTTCTTATTGCCAAAAGATATATTTAATTGCAAAGAAGCGCTGAATATTTGTCAAACTTTTGTGTTACATATATACTGCCATTCACTACTTCAAATTCGCTTTACTCTATTAGTATTCTATCTGAATGCTTGACACCAGCCAAGCCCAGCACTTTTTTTTTACCTGGAGTAATGAATAGCTTGATGTCCTGCAATATTAAAATAGAAGTCAGTTGTATGTTTCATCTCATCAGTATGTCCAGAGACTTCAATCCAGTGTGCTATCGGGAGGCAGTAAACTCCATCTACTATGTTGCTCTGGTTGTAAACACAACATCGATCATGATGGGGCCCATCACCTAAAACAGAAGAAAGGACAATTGCAGGCTGTGCATCTTCTGAAAGATTTGCAGGAGATGTGAACCGAGAAGTGGTGTTTGCTGCCTGTTCAAAGTGCGTTTCTCATAACACATTATTAACATCTGAAACAGTAGTAACAGAAGCACTACCACAAAGCAAGTGTTCAGTGGTTTTCAAATTTTCAAATTATTTTTAAAATCCCAAACAGTAAAGCTGTATAAAATTCCCAAATAATCAATTGTGGCACTTAAAATTCCAATAATAATTAATTTCATTTAAGTTCCTTATTTGATGTCTGATAATATGTGACCTCGGTGTTTAATGCTTCTGCTGTATGACCTCCCTTGGGGGGGCCCAGCTTGCTGTGGCACAGTCTAGCTCTGACACAGTACAGCGGTGTCACTTTGCCTCAGGCTTATTCCCAAGGAAATTGCCAAGCCACAAGAAAGACATCAGAGAAAGCAGAGAGTTTTTCTGTTCAAGATCAGAAAGGTAAAACCACAAACAAAGGTAGGACTGGTGACACTGGATCTGTTACCAGCTTAAGGCTGCAGGATGAAAAACACCTCTGTGGAAAGGGATCAAACCTCAAAGAAAAACAAGAGGGTGGCAGACAGCAACCCAGAAGCTATGAAGATCTGTTTCAGGGAACAGAGGTGACTGGTCCTTCTCCACCTCATCCACAGCTGCCTGGCAGCAAAGAATCTCAGATGTCTTGTCTTGCACAGGACGCACACTGATGCCTAGCCTAGCAGTTCATTAAATCCTACCATCTTTTATGTTTGCTAACCAATAAACAATTGCTTTGTACTCTTCAGATGCACATGTCCCACTTACAGAGTTTGTTCATATACAGTAAGTTGCCCAAAGTGACCCAGAGAGAGACGGTCACATGCAGGAGTGATCACAATTACCTAAAACAGTCTTGCCTAAAGTAAGAATATTTTCTTAGTTTTCTACTACCTAATATCCATTATCCCTTCTTCTACTCTTACAGAGTACAGAAAACCGATTTTTAAAAACCACGACAGAATAAGCATCTTCAATTGAACTGGGCTGTGTCAATAAAAAGGTTATCTAGCCTCCAAAAATTTAGCACATATACATTCTCCCCCCTTCCCCCATTTTTACATACTTATCACAGTATCACAGTATGTTAGAGACTGGAAGGGACCTCAAAAGATCATCTAGTCCAATCCCCCTGCCGGAGCAGGAACACCTAGATAAGGTTACACAGGAACGTGTCCAGGTGGGTTTTGAATGTCTCCAAAGAAGGAGATTCCACAACCTCCCTGGGCAGCCTGTTCCAGTGTTCCATCACCCTCACTGAGAAGTTTCTTCTCAGGTTTAAGTGGAACCTCTTGTGTTCCAATTTGTACCCATTTCCCCTTGTCCTTTCATTGTTTGCCACTGAGAAGAGCCTGGCTCCATCCTCGTGACACTCCCCCTTTATATATTTATATACACTAATAAGGTCACCCCTCAATCTCCTCTTCTCCAAACTATAGAGACCCAGCTCCCTCAGTCTTTCCTCATTAGGGAGATGCTCCACTCCCTTAATCATCTTAGTTGCCCTGCGCTGGACTCTCTCCAGCAGGTCCCTGTCCTTCTTAAACTGAGGGGCCCAGAACTGGACACAATATTCCAGATGAGGTCTCACCAGGGCAGAGTAGAGGGGAAGGAGGACCTCTCTCGACCTACTAACCACCCCCCTTCTAATACACCCCAGGATGCCATTGGACTTCTTGGCCACAAGGGCACAGTGTCGGCTCATGGTCACCCTGTCGTCCACCAGGACCCCCAGGTCCCTCTCCCCTACACTGCTCTCTAACAGGTCATTCCCCAATCTATACTGGAACCTGGGGTTGTTCCTGCCCAGATGCAGGACTCTACACTTTCCCTTGTTATATTTCATCAAGTTATTCCCCGCCCAACCCTCCAGCCTGTCCAGGTCTCTCTGGATGGCAGCACAGCCTTCTGGCGTGTCGGCCACCCCTCCCAGCTTAGTGTCATCAGCAAACTTGCTGACAGTACACTCAATTCCCTCATCTAAATCGTTGATGAATATATTAAATAATACTGGTCCCAGTACCGACCCTTGAGGCACTCCACTAGATACAGGCCTCCAACTAGACTCCGCCCCATAGACTACAACTCTCTGGCTTCTCTCCTTCAGCCAGTTCACAGTCCACCTCACTACCCGATCATCCAGACCACACTTCCTCAATTTAGCCGCAAGGATGCTGTGGGAGACCGTGTCAAACGCTTTGCTGAAGTCAAGGTAGACCACATCCACCGCTCTGCCATCATCCATCCACCGTGTTATTTCCTCATAAAAGGCTACGAGATTGGTCAAGCATGACTTCCCCTTGGTGAAGCCATGTTGACTGCCCCTCATAACCCTCTTATCCTTGATATGCCTTAGGATGGCACCAAGGATAAGGTGTTCCATCACTTTCCCAGGAATGGAGGTGAGGTTAACCGGTCTATAGTTACCCGGGTCCTCCTTCTTGCCCTTTTTGAAGACAGGAGTGACATTTGCTTTCCTCCAGTCCTCAGGCACCTCTCCCGTTTCCCAAGACTTGGTAAAGATGATGGAGAGCGGTCTAGCAATGACCTCTGCCAGTTCCCTCAGCACCTGCGGGTGCATCCCATCTGGACCCATGGATTTATGGATGTCCAGATTGCTCAACTGGTCTTTAACCCATTCCTCATTGACTAAGGCAGACCGCTCCGTTGACCTATTTTCATCCGAGGTCTCAGCGGTACAGGGCTCTTCAGGACTGCCTCCGGCAGAGTAGACAGAGACAAAGAAGGCATTCAGTAACTCTGCCATCTCTGCATCTTCTGTCACCAGGGCACCCACCCCATTCATCAGCGGGCCTACATTGCCTCTGGTGTTAGTTTTACCTGCCATGTATTTGAAAAAGCTCTTTCTGCTGTCCTTGACCCCTCTCGCCAGCTTTAATTCCAAGGAGGCCTTAGTCATCCTAGCAGCTTTCCTACATCCTCTAGCAGCAGCCTTATATTCTTCCCAAGTGGCCAGCCCTTCCTTCCATGACCTGTAAACTCTCCTCTTCCACTTGAGCATACCGAGCAATTCCCTATTTAGCCACGCAGGTCTCCTGACCCTCTTCCTTGACTTCCTACGTGTCGGGATGCTCCGATCTTGAGCTCGGAAAAAGCAGTCCTTGAACGTCAACCAACTATCTTGGGCCCCTTTACCTTCAAGCAGCCTAGCCCACGGGATTTCCCCTAGCAATCGCTTGAAGAGGCCAAAGTTTGCCCTGCTAAAGTCCAGGGTTGCGATTCTGCTTGCTATTCTACTGACCCTACCACGCAAGATCCTGAATTCTACCATCTCGTGGTCGCTGCAACCAAGGCAGCCCTCAACCTTCACTGCTTTGATCAGACCCTCCTTGTTAGTGAGGATGAGATCCAGCAGCGCACCTCTCCTGGTTGGCTCATCCACCATTTGCATGAGGAAGTTATCATCCATACACTGGAGGAACCTCCTGGACTGCGGCTGGGTTGCCGAGTAGTATTATTGTAATACTAATTGCCATGTAGGAATCATTGTGCAGATTAGAAGTGACCTAGTCTGTGGCTTTCTTTTAATGTAAGACTCTCACACTTATGCATTATTAATGATGTCAGAACATTTCTGAGTAAAATTAAGCCCAAAGGAATACCTTCAATTTCACACTGCACGTGAATACATGACCAACTTCCAAGCACCACATTTAGGGAAATTTGCTAGCGCCAAGTGTGTTTTGTGAGATGTATTAATGCAATGATTAGAGAATAAGACTAATATTAAATACCAAAGCTCAACCTCCTTATTTCCAAATGACATGCAGAGTATTTTATCATAATTTCAAAATATTATTTACCAAAACAAAAAAAAATATTTAGCAGAAAACTATTTTCTCTGTATTGCTGAACCACTAGGCATCATACGCAATAGCAGGACACAGCTTTTCATAAATACAGTGAGCAAGGTAAGTATATACCTCCTGAAGTTACAAATATCACCACTATATTTTTATCTCACATTTCTAATAGTCTGCACATTCTTAGCACTTCTAAACAGTATTTAAAGACAGGAGTTTATATTGATAAATACAACAGTGTAACAAAATCTATGGATGTTTATGACATTTGTCATAAATAATATTCATAATTGTCATATTCAAAATCTTAACCACAAATAACACATCTTGCTTTCCCCATTTTACTCTCTCACAACTGTCTGTAGCAGTGCACATCATCATGGCCCTGCCTTGCCATCACAAGGCTGTGTCTGACCCTGACCCTCACCTGCTGATGGGCAGATATCCCATCCCACATCAGGAGGCACCTGATGCCTGGGAGTGCCAGCCCCGTAGGGTGTCCTGCAGCCCCCAGGTAGCTGCCAGCCCTCGCTGCCAGCTGGCAGTTTTGAACCATGTTCTCAGGATCTCTGCCTCTTTTGCTACTCCCAGTCCTATTTTATCTTGCATGTGGGTGCCCTTGTATCCACTCTGGCTCCCACAAGGACTGCTCCTTCCACTGTTCACAGCTCTTCCTCCTCTCTCACAAGGGTTCTTGTATAAATGTTGGCAATCACAACCTACGACCTCTTCCTCCTGCTTAATTCCTTCAGTCCTCAAGGTACTAGTCAGTCCTACAAGACAACAAAGCCTCACTCTTTGTCTTCATGATCTCAATTGCACCAGTACATACTTCCTACTTTCCCATTCACAACTGCTGCTGCTTGAGGTGCTTGTACTTCTGTCATTTGGCAGTTTTACTCTCTGTCCTCCTTCTCCAGCTTTAATTCTTGGCTTTTAATTTTTTTTCCCCTTCCTTCTCTATCATCTGCCTTCTTAAATGGCAGAAAACTCCTGGCTTTGTAACCTATTCACCTTCACCACCATTCATTCCTTACCCAGCCTACACCACCACATAAAAGCAGGGCCAAGAGTAAATTACCAAGAGATGTTTGTTTGACTTGTTC